GACGCCCCGGCCGCCCTGCGCCGTGCGCCCGGCGTCCTGCCCGCGGGCTTGCGAGCGAAGGCGAGCTTTCCGCTGCGGAAAACTTCGGAACCCGCAGGCGGCCGCTAGCCCCGGAAGGACCTGGGGAGGGGCGAAGTGCGTGCGACTTTGCCTCGCTCTTTCCTTCTTGTATTTTTCTCAATTGCAAAAATAATGTTTGTTCACTGGAAATAAGGGCAAATGCAGGAATTTATTTTAACGGCTGCATATGTTACATAAAACGAGTGAAACTTGAACTTTCTGTGGACTTTTCAGCCCTTACCCAATCCTCTTTAGTAAACAACGGACTGAAGGTCCCTGTACACGAAATTTTGCACATCTAGGTTGCACTTTTATACCTTCCTTCCAGAAAGAGAGTGCGGCCTGGTAGACTAAACTCACGGTAGAATGAGGTTTAAACAAAAGGAGTTGCAGGGACCCTGGAATTGCTGTGATATAAGCCCTTACCATGAAGGGCACAGAGCTCTCGGTATAATCAACACTCCGTAAATAATTTCTTATATAAAGTAACAGTTAACTGTCCAATTATTAGGTAAATAACGACGTGACCACAACAGAGAGCTGCCAGGCTCTGGCATGTAATTGGCATTTATAAATATTTGGTGACTTGAACTGTTCAGTGCCTGCCCGGTGGCCTGCGCCCCAGCGCAGGGAGGGAAGCGGGAGAAACAGCTCCGAGCTTGCGAAACCCCGGCCGGCTGCCGGGAAGCGGTGCGCAGCGCGGTTTAGAGCAGAGCCCGGAGGCTCACTCCCAGGGATCCAATCCTGGCTGCTGATTCCGAGTCAGGGGGCCGTCGGCAGATTCCTTCCCCTCTCCGCCTCCTGATCCTCACCTCTAAAGTGTGGGGAAGGACTCTACCTTCCTCGCAGGTTTGTAATAAAGGGTAAGCGGATCAATAGGTGCAAAGAACTGAGAACAGTGCCTGGCACAGAGGAAGCATGCAACACAGGTTGGGTTTTGACATTATTACCGGACTACTTCTATATCTAAAACAATGACAGAAAGGCTATGAGACTTACCTCCCTGGATATCTTTTTATTTTATTTTAAATATGTTTTTATTGATTTCAGAGAGAGGACGGGAGAGGGACAGAGATGGAAACATCAATGATGAGAGTCACTGATCGGCTGCCTCCTGCATAACCCCTGCTGGGGATGGAGCCCGCAACTCGGGCATGTGCCCTGACCGGGAATCAAACCTCTATCTCCCGGATCCTAGGTCAATGCTCAACCTCTGAGCCACACTGGCTGGGCCCTTTCTGGATATTTTAAGATAACCTTCCATGACCTGAGCCCATCTGAATGCTCCTCTGTTTCTTTAAACTGGGAAGTGCTGCCTCACATCAACCACTACTAAGAAGGCTGTTTATGAGCTATCTGCTGGATAAACTGGCAGGCAGCTAAGGTGGGAAAAAACCTCAGAGAGAGGGCGTGGCAGGCCGCTTCTAAATGACTCCCAATGACCTTTGATCCCTGGTGTTCATAACCTGTGAACCCCACCACTTGTATGTGCACTGGATCTAGCGACTTACTTCAAACAAATAGAATACAGCAAAAGTGATGGAGTGCCCCTTCCAAAATTAGGTAATAAAAACGTGTCTCTCCTCTCTTGTCCTTTTCTCCCCCTGCTCTCCTGTTCTCTCTCTGTCTTTCTCAGCTCTCACTCTGAGGAAAGCAAACAATCATTGTGAGGAGCCCTAGAAAGAAGCCCCACGTGACACGGAACTATTGTCTCTGGCGAGCAGCTGCAAGGACCTGAGGCCTGCCAACAGCCCCAAGAGTGAGCCTAGGAGCAGATACTTTCACAGTCCAGCCTTCAGATGAATGCAGAAAAAGATAGCACTTTGCAGCCTAGTGAGACACCCCGAGCAGAGGACTCAGCTAAGCTGCACCCAGATTCCTAACCCACAGTGTGTGAGAGGCCCATTTCCCAGGGCTCACCAGCAGAGTGTGTTAACAAACTGTTTGCTTTTTCCTAACAAGTGAGGTTCAAACTGATAGTTTTAATTTGCATTTCCTTTATGAGTAAGGCTTAGGGGTTCTTGATTTTATATTTAAGGAAATCTTTTTACATCGTCAATGAGGCAGAATTGCCATTACTGATTATCTTTAAGTGTAATTATTGGAGTAGTCCAATGTTATGAAAACAATTAACATGTATAGTTTTATTGCAACTTGCTCAGAAAATGAAATCATCTATATTGAATTCATGTGAATCTGTTCTTAAAAAAAAAAAGAACTCTTCTGTTCAATTTAGCATATTGTCTAGATTATCTGTTCTAGATCATGTACTTCATGATAGTACCTGTAAAGTAATAACCGGATTAAAAAAATTTTTTTTTTTTTTTGTGGTGCATTAAGAAATTCAAGTAGAGCCCTGGCCAGGTAGCTCAGCTGGTTGGAACGTTGTCCTGTACACCAAAAGGTTGTGGGTTCAGTTTCTGGTCAGGGCACTACAGAAGGCAACAGATCCATGTATCTCTCTCTCCCTCTCTCAAATCAATAAACATATATCCTCGGGTAAGGATATTTAAAAAATTAAGTAGAAATTTCCTAAAGATAAAGTAACTATTAGCAAATGCTTCCCCTGATAGAAAGGTAGTTGTTTCATTTTGTTTTAATGTCATGAAGTTTTGTGCCTTTCTGATATGTAGCTATACTGTCCATCCCTTCCTGTGAGACTTATAGGAGTAGATGAGTAAATAGGTTACTTTAGCAAATAATATATATATTTGCTTTTTTCCTTGTTTTTTGTTTTTATAATTGCAAATAATATTTCCTTTCAGTGTATTTCAATTACAATTAACAGTGATTCTGATGAAGTACTATCACCTATCCCTATACATTTGGGATTTTGTTTGTATATTAACGCAAGCAATCACAGAATGAATAACTGCATCATATTTATAAGAGAATTTTTAAAATTATGTTCTTATAAAATAAGTCAGAGTGAAGTTCAAAGAAGTTTATAAACTATGAAGATGCTATTATGTCACCCTACAGGTGTCAGAAAAACAGGAAACTTGAAATAGGGCCTCTCTCTTACTTAATAAGAGAATTTAATATATACTGAGCTTTAGTACTTGTGTATGCATTTTTTATTATCAATTGTTGCTATCCCAAATGTTTCATTTTAAAATTAGGTACAATAAATATTATGCTGAAGAAGTCTATTCCACATAATCATACAAAACAAACTCATTTACTAAGGAATTGGAAGATGTTTTTGTTGGTTATTTAATGAGTTACACAATGAAGAATGGAGGGCACATTAGCTAGAAGTTATAAAATTGAAAACTACATTAGAATTTTGATAATAAAAACAAAAAATATAAAAAAAAGAAAATAAATTTTTTAAAAAAGCAAAAAAAAAAATTAAGAGGCGCTGAAGGAATACATTAATTATAAAAATATTTTAAACACCTAAAGTATTACAAAGGCATGTACGATTGGTGTGTTAACTTTACTTCTTATAGTGTGGGTTTCTTAGGGTCTTTCAGTTTTTAAGGAGCAGAGATATATTTGGGTTACTGGGTAATGTTACTGAAAGGATGCAGAGAAGAGAGACAGGAAGACATCTCTGCAGCTGCAGAGCTGGGCCTCATAGAAAACAAGTTATTTTGGGACACATGCATTTCTGGTGGCTCAACAAAACTCTGCTAGGCCAGGAGCATGCTGTGTCGTCTTCCACGTACTCAGCAGCTCCCCACACCGTGCCCTGTTCCTACACCAACTCCATGGCTGTGTCTTGGCTCCCATCGTGACTGCCTCCCTTTGACTCACTATTCTAGTCCTCAAAGACCTTCCACTCCTGCTTCCTGATGGCCCCCTCCGCTTTGGGGCTTCTGCTTACTGCCCTCTCTTGACCATCTCTCTGCTTCTCAGGAAACCTTTGCACACCTGTGTTAGATCAGTTTCCCCGGAAGCAGATCCTGAGATGAGCTTTTGCATGATTTATTAAGCAACTGTTCTCAGGAGAAACTGGTAGAAGAGTGAGAAGGTCAAGGGAAGCAAAGAAGCCTAGCAAGGATGCAGTCACGGGAGGGTCCTTTAGCCTAATCCCAGCGCGGGTGCCTGGGAGTGTAAGTGATGTTTCTGACACCCAACCGGGAACCAACGACCCGTAGGCATTCCTGTCAGTCACAGTTTAAGGTCCAAGGAGATGCATGAGCTTCTAGACACTTCTGGCTGTCTGGTCATTGGGAGGGAAAGCTTGGGGCAGAAGCACTTGTTCACGGTAAAGAGGGATCTGAAGATCTTGGATGTGGGTGGAGGGAGCACAGCTAGAAAAAAGAGCCGAGGGCAAAGGCAGCAGTCGAGTAAATCTGTGAAGTATAAGGTGGAAGAGTCGGTGGAGTGTCATCAAGGGACTGAAGTTGCGCTTCAGCAGTTTTGTTCCAGACCCAGTGATGGTGTGTGTTTGGCTGGCTTGGGCCCCGTGACTGCCCCAGGCTCCCTGAACTGTGACAGCTTGAGACCTGGGCAGGCTTCTCTAGGCACCTCCTTCCCAGCCAAGGGCCAGACTGTGACCTCAGTGGCCAAAGAACCAATGCTGGGCCTGGTCCTCAGTCACCGTCCTGGTGGCGTGTGTGGAAGATACTCATGCAGAAGCATGCACAAGCACACACATGCACACATGCACATGCCCTCACACATGTCAGCAGCATCTGCAGCGTCCCCTGAGAAAAGGGTGGGAGGGCTGCTGGTTTGGGTGGCAGCAGCCAGCGTGCACCCCGAGATGCACCTGTTTGGTTTGTGCTTCTTGCCTGTTTAACAGTGGGGCGCTGGCACCCAGAGTCATATTATCATCTGAATAAATGTGACCTCATTCTGCTTTTTTTAAAAAAGTAAAACCTAAACTGAAAATGTAGATTTTATTTAACCCACTCTTGTTTCTCTCTCTCTCTCACTCACACACACACACACACACACACACACACACACACACACGAAATATATTCATCTCTCTGGCCTCTGAGGCCTGAAAACTTTCCAGAGAAGCCTGATACTTCTTGAACTCTTAGTGCTGCGTGTGTAGACAGTCGCGGGGGGTTGTGATCGCTCAGTGGCTCTGCACAGGACTCATGGGTACCATTACCTCTTCACTCCCTCCCCTAGGGTGCGGGACTGAAAATCATCTACCAGCAGTTTGCCCAACCTGCCAGGGCAGCCTTCTCCCATTTGCCAGCATCTACTGGACACGCACGACTCCCTTTCATTTCAAGACTGAGAACCCAACGAAACATTTGTGAGAATAAAATCTTGTCAGGCATGCCAGCAAACCTGCAGCATTAACTTTAAAATTAAATTGATTTCTGCTTGCATTCAAGTTTCTGTTTCTTTAAATCGAGAGCACTCATTAAGTCCATGTATCCACATCTTACTATGTTGCATAGAAAAGAAAAACCCTCAAGGCTGACTGTGCTTTAAAATTTACTTTAAAAAGGTAAGTAATTCTAAAATAAAAAATTCAAATCCCTTTCTATGTACATTATTTAACAAAAAATGAACAGTTAATAGTAACTTCTGTGAGTATAAGGACCTTAATTTAGTTCTCTATTTTTCCCTATTCCTCTTTGTGTCCTTTAAATAAGAGAGATTTATTTTGTACTCTGCACATAATTACGGTTTTGTGCCTCTGATTTTAGTACTAGGGGATGTCTTGTTCCATCTCCACTTCAAAAGGTTTTAATTTATAATTTCAAAGGCATAGTTAGGCATCTTGGAGGCAGAGCATGTGAGTACAGATTATATAGTAGACACTGACCCAAATATTGATATTAAGAGCTACGAGGTAACTCCTAATGCTCAGGCTGAGTAGCAAGAAGTAGTCTCCAAAACGACCAATAAGTTTAAGAGGATTTTAATTCTACAGACCAAAATAAAAGTAAGCAGTTTATTCAATTGCTATTTATGCTCCTTTCAGCCAGACACAGGACATTTTCATCAAGTCAATGGCACCTTTATTATTTTAGTTCTGTTTGGGATCCAGGTTGAGCTATTTATTTCCCAAATGATAGCCTATACAAACGCACTCTGCTTTTTAATAACTCTGGCTCTCCACATTCATTTTCTTTACCAAGTTGTATACCTACTTAATCTACATTTTAAGTTTGGTTATACACTTCCTTTAAAGCTATAAAACCTGCTTGAGGTCAAGAAGCTACAATATTTAGGACACACTTTACCCTGAGCTGAGATGCTGTCATAAAGATTGAGGTAGAGGGAAGTGATGAATTCTGGATGGAGTCTAAGCACAGCACAACTAAAAATTCAAAGGGGTGGGTATTGGATTTGTACGGTGCTGCCTAGAGTATAAAAAAAACTAACACACCAAACCCCCTTGTTTCTCTTATGTTGGTAAATTCCTGTTCTAACTTCTTTAGAAATTCCAAACCGTGTGAGAAGAGATGGTTAAGGGAGATAGGAAAGAAGTATGGAAAGGAAAAAAAGTGATATTATTATGGGAGAAACTGTTGTAGGGACAGAAGCAAGAGAGGTTTCTAGGGAGTGGGAAGAGAGAAGAAAGATCTTTTATATAAAATTGTTTTCAAGTAATCATCGTAACTAACTACAGCTGTGAGATGTCAAATAACTGAAAATAAGAAAGGTGTGTGCCAAAGGGAGAAATGCTGCTCAGGTGTTGACATGAGATCAGCTTGAGCAAGAGGGAAACCTGGGCCTCAGACAACTAAATGTGGTGCCAGATTGTCCGTAGTTTTTTTACTACCTTGATGAACATTTTGTTATTTTTACACGATTGCTATCAGAGTCAAGGCTTATTTTCCACAAGTGTTATAGCTGATTTGTATTAAGTTTATTTGTGTTTACTTTTTCAACTTTTTATTTTGAGATTCTAGGTGTGTACCAGAGAGTTCCAGTGTATGCTTTATTCAGCTTTCCCTGCTGTTAGCGTCTTACATAATCATAATACAATGATTAAAACTAAAGAATTGACATTAGTACTTAAGTATTAACTAAACTATAGACTTTATTTGGATTTCACCATTTTTTTCCATTAATGTATTTTTTCTGAATCAGGTTATCACATTGCATTTAGTTGATGGATTAGGTATTATTGTGTACTGAATGTTTGTGTGTCGCCCCTCCCAAATTCGTATGTGGAAATGTAATCCCTAATGTGATGGTATTTGGATGTGGAGCCTTTGGGAGGTGATTAGCTCAGGAGGGTGGAGCCCTTATGAAAGGCATTATAAAAAGAGCCCAGAGAGCTAGCTTGCTCTCTACCGCATGAGGAAACCAGAAGTCAGCCTTCTGCAACCTGGAAGAGGGCTCCAACCAGAACCCAGCCATGCTGGCACCACGATCTGGGACTTACAGATCTC